CGATATTTTCGTACTCGTAACGTCTCATAAATAAATAAATACTGTTGTTGCGGTTGTTATTGTTGTTGCTGTTGTGACCGTCAGATATTAGAAATAGTCCCGATAACATTGTAGTTCATCTTCCTGGTGCCATGGAAGAAACCGTTACGGAAGGGAAAAATTTTAACGCGAGTGACGATGATGATAATTATAATCCAGTATTGCACAGGAGTCTGGAACATCCAACTTCGTAAGTGAATAATAATAATAATAATTATTATTATTATTATTATTTATTTTATTTATTTATTATTTTTTTCTTTCTTCCCTTTCCCCTCCCCCGTACAGGAATTTGGATACTTTAATACATTTACTTAAGGGAAACATCGGCACGGGGATTTTAGCCATGCCGGACGCATTTAGGAATTCGGGTCTCATAGTCGGATTTTTCAGTACTTTAATTATAGGCGCCATATGCACGCATTGCATGCATATATTAGTTAAATGCTCTCACAGGCTATGTAAAAAAGTTAGGGTGTCGTCTTTGGGATTTTCAGAAGTCGTCGAAGCCGCTTTCGAATACGGTCCGGAATCCCTGCAACCCATGGCGAAAGTCTCAAAGTGAGTTTAAATAATTTTAAAGTAACCTTATCGTTAGAGAATTGAATTGGATTTATTATTATTATTATTGTTGTTGTTGTTCGTACAGGTCTTTGGTAAATTTGTTTTTATGCGTTACACAAATAGGATTTTGTTGCGTTTATTTCGTGTTCGTCGCGGCGAACATTCAAGAATTTTTTAAACATTACGACATAAATCATTACAGGACAACTTATTTACTTATTTTATTAGTGCCCATGATCGTATTGAATTTGCTTAAAAATTTAAAAGTAAGTTTTCTTTTCCGAGAGAGAGAAAAAAAAGTATTTTTCCGTTTGTTATTATTATTTTTTTTTTCTTCTCATTAAAGTTTCTCACGCCGGTATCTATTATTGCTTCCATATTGACCGTGAGCGGACTCGGAATAACTTTTTATTACATGTTACACAATTTACCAAAAGCATCATCCGTTCGTTATTTTTCATCATGGTCGCAGTTACCATTGTATTTCGGAACGGCCATATACGCTTTCGAAGGAATCGGAGTGGTAAAAAAAAAAATTTTTTGTTGTTGTTGCTGAATGCACAATATGTCCGTCCGATTTATGTTTAAATTGTGCCAATTTTTTCAAATAGGTTTTACCGTTGGAAAACAACATGAAAACTCCTCAAGATTTCGGGGGTTGGACGGGTGTTTTAAACACGGGTATGGTCATAGTTGCTTGCCTGTACACCGCGATGGGTTTTTTCGGGTATTTGAAATACGGTGATGCCGTTTCCCTGGGAAGCATAACGTTGAATTTACCGCAAAACGAAATGTAGGTCGCCATGTTTGAATTTTTTTGCCTTTTTGCCCGGGCTCACGACGAAGATTAATTTTTTTTTTGTTTTTGTTTTTTAGTTTAGCACAGTTGGTTAAACTCACGATGGCTCTCGCAATATTTTTATCGTTCGGACTTCAATTATACGTTCCCGTCGGAATAATGTGGCCGATATTAAAAGATCGACTTCAATCGGAAAATGCTCAAAAATACGGAGAGTATTTGCTCCGAGCCGTACTCGTTTTATTTACTTGTAAGCATTGAAAAAATGAAAAAATAAGATGAAAGGTGATGATGATGCTGTAATCGAATGATCGTTTGTCTATCTGTTTCAGTTGGTCTCGCTATTATGATACCCGATTTGAGTGCTGTGATATCATTGGTCGGAGCGGGTAGCAGTTCGACTTTGGCCATAATATTTCCACCCGTATTAGAAATAATAACGTTTTGGGATTCCGATCTCGGTAAATATAATTGGATTCTAATTAAAGACATAATAATCATCATATTCGGGTTTTTAGTTTTCGGTTTGGGAACGTACGTGAGCATTTGTAACATAGTAGCACCTCTCCATTAAAGGAAAGGTAAGAAGAGAAAGAGAAAAAAAATTTATTTTTAAAAAGGTTAAAAAGAGATAAAAAAAAAAAATTATATATGCGTATATATATATGTATTGCGTGATGCGTAATCTCGAAATGATTTTTTTTTTTTTTTTTTTCTCGCTGATGTTGTTGTTGGTTGTTGTTGTTGTAGTAGTAACCCGAAACAAAAGTTTTGTTGTTTGTTTATGCGAATATATATATATACGCACACGCACGTGCGTAAAGTTACGTTTAGTTACCTTTTTTTTTTTTTTTTAAAAAAAAAAAAGGAAAAGGGGTGACTACCTTGTATTTGTTAATTTTATCGTGGAAATTTAAAAAAAAAAAAAAAAAAAGTGATGTTCGCTTCGCATGTAAAAGAAAAAAAAATTGTTTTTAAGGTATTATTATTATTATTATTATTACTACTACTCTTAATGCTATCGTGAAAGAAAAGCGAGAATGAGGGGAAGGGGGGGGAAAAAGGAAGTAGAGAAATTATATATATATATATATTGTAACTGTTTTTTTTTTATCGTCTGCAACAAATTTTATATATTTTATAACTCGCATTGTTTTCGTTTTTAAAATGTTTATATATATATATATATATATATATATATATAAAAATTTCATTCCGAATAAGTTTAATAATAATAATAATAATAATAATAATGGTGATGATTGAGGGGAAGTTATTAATACGCGAGCGTCAAATTTTTTTTTTTTTTAAATTCTAACTTCGCGCCCCTGAAAATTACGAAAAGCGAGGAAAAGGATTAAAGTAAATAATTTTTTTTGATTTTAATTTTAATATGAATTTTTTTTTCTTTTTTGGGGAGGTGGGGGGGACTTGGAATCGTGGCTGGAACACGAGAAAAATTATTATTATTATTAATATTATTTTAATCGTAAATAATGACTTCATGCGTTGTTTTTCCCGCCGTGTAATTTTTTTTTTTTTTTTTTTTATTTATATTTATATCGAAATTTATCGAAACGAGTGGGGAGGGGAAGGGGAAGGGGAGGGGCAGATAATATTATATCGATCGATATTATTATTATTATGTCCCGTATTTCGTTCTTGATGATCGAACTCGAATAATTTTTATATTAAATTTTAATTTAAAAAAATTTTTTTTTTTTTTTTAAATAATTTTATTATTAATATTATTATTATTATTTTAATTGTGACGATTATTTTGTCGATTTTTATTTGTTATTGTTATTATTATTATTATCATCTCTTATTTTCTTCTCTTTAGTATTAATTTTAATTTAAAAAAAAAAAAACATGATCATGACTGTGTGTGTGTGTGTGTAGGTGGGTGAATGTCGTACCTGAATTTTGATTTTTTTTAAAAAATGGATTCGATGTATATTATTATTATTATTATTATTTAGTAATGTCATATCAGTATTTTTTTATCAATCGACTTTTTTCTTATTTGATTGTTTTCGCGCGAAAAGAGATTCGAAAAAGTCGATTTAAAAAATTAAATTTCTTTTTTGATTTTAGTAGGGATAATTGTAAAGAAAAAAAAAATGAATAAAATTTATTATTATTATTATTATATATAAATAATTATTTATACGTATAAATAATTACGATCTCTTTAGAATAAGATAAGAAAAAAAAAAACACAAAAATCGAAAGCTTTAAAAAATGAAAATGAAAAAATGAAAAAATTTTAGAAAATTTAGTTAATGATAATGATAATGATTATTAATGATAAATCGTTGTTGTTGATTTTTTTTTTTTAAAGGGATGCGTGCCATTCTTTCAAATTTTATATTAAATACCAGACCGGTGCTGGTATTGATTTTTTTTTTTTTTGTAACGGTTTTCAATCAAACTTTTAATTTTTTCTTAGTAAGGATTTATAATAGGTTCGTAATTGACGGGGGAGGGGAGGGAAGGGGGAAAAGGGGATAGAAACAAAAACGAGCTTAGATTTTTCTTTTTTTAAAAAGGCAATATATGTAAATTTTATTATTATTATTATTTTTCTTCTTCTTATCTTTTCGTGTAACTTGATTGATTGATTGATTGTATCGAATTACTTAAATTAAATAATAATAATAATAAATACATAAATAAATAAAAATGAAACCGAGACAATAATTTTTTTAAACAAAAGTCTTCTTTCTATATATATATAAATACATAAATATATTTATTTAAATAAGTAAATAAATAAAATCTAAAAATAAATAAATAAATAAATATTCTAAAACGTGTAAATTCGTTGCTTGAAAAAAGTAATAATAATAATTTTTTTTTATAAATTTTTATGTTTTATTATTATTATTATTATTATTGTAATGATTTTAAACTTTATTCATTTTTTTTTTTATTATAATGAACTCTTTATTATTATTATTATTATTAATTTTTTTTTTAAAATGAAATCTCTTTGTCTTTAATTTTAAAAATTGTAAAATTTTTTTTTTTTATTAATTTTTTTGCTATGTATTATTATTATTATTGTTACACAGCAATAAATGTTATTGTGTATTATGTTTATATATATATATACACATGTAAGAATTTATGTTGTTTATTAAATAAAAAATTTAATTTAAAATAAATTTTTTTATTTTTTATTTTTCGAAATGATAAATATTTATTTATTATATGACAAACAATAAAATAATAAGCGTTTGTTTATAAAAAAAAAAAAATAATAATTTTATCACAGGAGATTTGTTGACTCGATTCGAATATGGTAAAATTTTCTATTTATTTTATCATTATTATTATTTATTAATTAATTTTTTTTTGATTAAATGAATGTTATTTAAGTTATTAATGTAGTCGATACTAAATCGAAGTCTCCACTAAGTTGTTACTATTATGAAAATCAAAACAATAATGAAATTTTAACAATGTGTTAACATAAAGTAACATTCGATAAATTTTTTTTTGGGAAAAAAATAAATAATTTACACAAAAACTAAATTTGGTAAATAATAAATTGTAATTTCATTTTCGATAATTACTAATTAGTATTAACTTTTTAGTTTTGATAGTTTATCGAAAGTTGTTTTTTGAAAATTAACTAGCATAACTCGTAAATGAAGAACTGTGACTAAAATATTCTTTTTATACCATGTCAACAAATAACTCAAATGATTTTTCCAATTTTTATCTAAGAACTGTTTGTAAAAAATTGACATTTCATCAGCCGTTATGATTTGATCATTTAAATTTTTTTTCTCTAATATTTTGCTTTCGAATTTTTTCTTTTCATTTTTAAAACATTTATTATGTTCTACCCAAAATAATTGATTCCAATTTTGTAGTTCGTTTCTTTGCTTTCTTAATTTTTCTTCTAGTTTTGTTTCGTCAAAGTTTATTACATATTTAATGGGACGTAAATTAGATACAGTGTCAACTGGCCCAATTAAATCTCGAGGTTGTGGAGTCCTGCTTATTCCTCTTTTCTATAAATTATATTTAAAATCGACAAACAAAATAAAGTTATAAAAATATATTTAATGGCGATCAATTAATAAGAAAATAAAGCTTACGTTATTTTTTACATTAAAAATAAACGTTTTATTTAAATTAACGATCCTGTTAAAAGAAAGCACAGGAAACAATTGGTTTACCATCATTTATATTTATTTTACAATTCGATGGCGGACATGTTGAATTCAAAGAAAAAAGTATTGCCAACTTAAAATTTTTTGTTAAATAAACGAATTTTTCTCTTCGATTTCTTATCGTTAATTTTTTTTTTGTTTTATTAAAATCAGAGTGAAAATTTTCCTTTTAACAGTAAAAATATTTAAAAAATTTTTTGTGAAAAAAAAGTATTTTCAAGTGAATCATTATTATCATCAATCGTGAGGTAATTATTAAAATAATCAAAGTTAAACGTCACACAAAGTTCTTAACGTGAAATCGCCTTGAGGTAGATCATGGCTCATGAAAATGTTGAACTAGTTTACATATATGACTTCCTTGAAAAATGTAGGACTAATATTATTATGTATTTTCCCCTAATGTTATCTTCTGTCAATAAAATTTCGATTAGAACATTCTTGTTTTTATTTACATTATTGAAATTGGCTTTTATTATCAAGTATTTTAATTGTATGTAATAACGGTAAAAAAAAAAAAAATATTTAGAATATGTAATAAAATTCTTTCATATTTTTCTCTTTCATTTTAAACTGCATATAAGAAATTATTAAAAATCTGTTTTATTCTAAAGGTTAAATGTTAATTTTATGTTTAATTTTTCTTTGAGTATTTTATTTCCCTTATTATTATTTGCTTTTGTGGGTTGTTGTAAAAATTTTATGGCAAAAGTTTCAAATTTCAAACAATTTTTTTTTTGGTCATTTCCACTTTATACACTTATCCCACATCATTTATTTATAAATACTAATAAGTTTTTTTTCTTTTGTAATTGATTCTAAAACAATTTGATAAAAATTTATTTATTTTTTTTCCCCCTTTCCCTTATAATAATTATAAAAGTTATAAAAAATTAGTTAATTAAGGGAACATTCAAGTTTTAAATATTAAATTTCTTGGGTAGGGTATTTCAATTCATCAAATGTGTGTGTCACACCCTTTGATATTTATAATTATTAAAATTGTGATTAGTATTTTCATTCATTCTAATAGTTTTATTCTGATATGGTTGGTTATATTCTTTTTGATGGATTCTTACTCTTCTTCTAGATAATCAATCATCTAACATTCTAAGCCCAAGACAAAAATCATAAGATTTTTGACACAAAATGGTTGAAAATCTAATTGTACTTCATTTGACTAAATTGTTTTAGCTGAATTGATTTTGATTCTTACTTTTAAAGATGTTAAATATATCTTTTGTCATATGAATTTGTAAGGGTTAACCAAAAACTAAATAAAGGTACCCCCCTTTGTAGATGTTAAATGTGAACAAAGCCCAAGTCATAATTTTTTGATAATTTCATTAATTTCTTTTACAGTGAATACATCTTTGTATGCTGTAGGATTGTTTGGTTGATTTGAATTACTAAGATTGGTAAGTATCATAGCCTGTTTATAAGAAAAAAAAAAAATATATACAAGTTTCTCATGGGTTGTGTGCCTTGATTGGAAAGAAAGGTCAACGTACGGTTATTTTACGATTTTACTACTTCCATATAAATATTTTTTATTTCTGACCATGGAATTTTTCACCATGTATTTTTAATTTATTTTATTTACCGTGCATTCATATTGTAGCTGTAGGCTTAAATCAGACAGGTATTACATAGGAAATTTCATTTGCCTCGTAATAATAATAATAATAATAATATCTTATTACATTTAACCATTCGTGTGTTGAGTAGTGCAATAATTTTTAATTATTGTATTTTTTTTTTTTTTTAAATTACTTGCGAAAGTTCACATGTTTAAATTGTTTTATCCAATTATCAATAATTCTTTATTTAGAATTTCGAAACGAAATTCAAAGGAGTCAAGGAGAATTATAAGAAAAAAAAAAAATTTTTTTTAACTTAAGAAATAATAAACCATAAAGCAGTAAGTGCTGCCAACAGCGATTAGAAAAATTAACCAAAAAATAATTAAAAAAACCGCCGATAGAGGCGTTGACGTCCTTTAAATTCCACCGTTTTAAACTCCCTTGGCAACAAAACTTAGTAGTGAACGTTTAAAAGTCAACAGTCTTGAAAGAAGAGTCAAAAGTTTTAAACGGCAACACAACCAATATTCATTCGATAGACGTTTTCTTTTTTTTAAGTAATAATTACACTTAATAAGTTCAAAGTCAACGTGAAAATTATATTTCGAATTCACTTTTTTTAATACTTTAGTTATTAGACATTAAAACTAGTGTTAGTTTAAATAAGAAACTAAAAGAAAAAAACTTTTCATTTAACAATGAACAATCATCATCATCATCATCATCATCGTCGTCGTCAATGTCGTCGTCATTTAATCAAAATTTCAAAATTTTACCAAAAAAAAAAATGGTTCGAAAAAACATTTTTTTTGACTTAATCATAAATTTTTTAACAAGAAGAAATCAAATGAAAGAATGATGATGTCAGAGGTAAGCATTAAAACAAGTAAAAAAAACTTATTATTATTATTATTATTTATATAATATTCATTATGTTTTAAATTTCATTTCTTATTATTTATTTAAACAATTTGTCATGACAATAATAATAATAATTGCTGGTTCAGGTATATTTAGGCACGAAAAAAAAACTTATTTGTTTTTTTTTTTTTTTTTTTGAATATTGTTTCTTAACTTTTATTGTCACGATTATTATTATTATTATTATTTTGTAAAAATTTGCTTTCTTTTTGTTTTTTTTTTTTTTTTGCGTGTTCTTTTATTTCATTATTTGAAGAAATAATGGAAGGCAAAAAGGAAAAAAAAAAAAAATGAAATTGATTGTTGTTAGCACATTTTTGTAGGTTTCGACATGGCCTGTTTTTAATATAACTATTTATGTCGATGAACTTGCGTGACTCACAGTTGCCACGGGGGGAGTTTCAATTAAAATATTTATAAGGAAAATGTTATTATGCCGGTTTTTAGTTTTTTAGTTTTCTTTAGTGTTTGTGGAAAACTAAAAAAAAAAAAATTATAAACCATATTGGTTGTTGTTGTTGTTGTAAAAACCAATCTAGGCAATATTTATGAATACCATGCATGAAAAGTTTATTATTATATGTGTAACTGAGTTTTTGGTCGAAATGAGAAATGATGGTTAGTTTGTCAGTTTGTTTGTTTGTTTTTATTGGTAAATTAATATTAATAATGATTTGTATGTCAATATCTGTGGTATAAAAAAAAAAAATTTGTGTGATTTTTTAAAAACAATTATTATTATTTTTGTCGGTTAACAAAAAAAAATGAACTCGATGAACTTTTTTTATTATTTTCATAATTTGAGGTTAATTTTAGACCTTGATCATAATTTAAACAAAACAAGTTGTTTGTTCGACAGACATTTTTTTTTTTTTTAAAAAAATGTGAAATTTTTTTTTTTATTATTTCATTTCATTTTTTTTTTTTTACAAAATACATCTTTATTCGTTATTGACATGAGGTAAATATTGTTTTGATTAATTTTTCTATCTCTATCTCTCTCTCTCACTCGATTTGTTGTTTGTTTGATTCTCTGATTGTCATTATTCCTTTTCAAGTCATGTTCATGGTTTTAATAACCAAAAAAAGAAATTTTAATGTCGAATGTGATTGATTGTTGATAAAATGTTTTAACTTGTGACATTTTGTCAATGTCGATTGGAAATTTTGTTAGGTAAGAAAATTATGATTATATTGGTCAGTTAATAAATTGTTAAATCATATAGATTTCCTTATAACAAACTCATGGATAAAATGTTTTGGTTGTTGTTGTTGTTTTTAAAGCATTCGAATATTAATGTTTGCTAATTGACCTTATTTTTTTTTTTTTTAGTCGAGTTGATTTGGCCATGAAGTTTAGATAAAATTAAGGTTTTTTGTGAGTTTTATCATAGTTTTTTTTTTTTTTTCTTACAAAAATATGTTTTTTTAATTTTTTTTTTTTTTTTATCACATGAAAAAAAAACAATAATAATAATAATAATAATGAGAGTTACAAATGAATGAATAATTTTTTTTTTTTTTTTTTTTTTCCCAATCATAGTTAATTTAATGATCGAATGGGGAAAAAAAAAATTGGGTAAAAAAAAAAAAATGTTTGAAAACAAAAAAAAAAAAATTTATTGAAAAAATTCACGAATGAATGAATGAATGAATGAATGAGAGAATGAATGGTGAATGAGTGAATGAATGAAAAATTTCTGTCGTTTGCTTTTGTGAAAATAGAAGATGTGGTTAATATTGTTGGAAGGATTAGTGCCTTTCTTAATATGGTAATAGGCATGCGCGGTTGTTTTCCCTTGTGCCTGTTTGCTTCCTTGCTTGTCCCTGATCCTTTACCCCCCACTCTCACCCTTTCGCATAATTTTCCCAAAAACAGAAAAAAAATTCTTGCCCTTTGAATTCTTTCCTAGATTGTGAGCCAAGTTGCGAAATTGAAATTTTGGTCAATTCCTGCCTGCACTTGAAAAGTTACAAAAAAATTAAAATTAAAATTAATGCCGCCGTCGCCACGTTTGCCATCTTAATTAGGTACAAAGAAGGTAAAGTCGAATGACAAAACCTTGATTAAACCTATGACGTAGCATTTCTTACCTTAAAAAAAAATTTTTTTTTTTTTTTTTTTTTTTTTATTACGTGTTTAGAGTATTTGGCGTTTCATTTCCCTAAACGTCGAAAAAATCAAGTCGATTTGAAGTAGTAGTCTTTGTTTGTTGTTTGTTTGTTTGTTTGTTTGTTTCACTGGAATTTTCCTAAATAAAAGTTTGTCCGGTTGGACAAAACGCGAGCGTTTTAAACACAAAATAATTTTTATGCGTACTTTAAAAAAAAAAAAATTTTTTTTTCCCCCCCTGATAAAACGCGAGATATATTATTAATTCGATGATGATGATGATAATAATAATAATAATGACGTCGATAATGATTATTATTATTATTGTTAAGATAATAATGAATTATTATTATTATTATTATTATTATTATTATTATTATTATTATTATTATTAT